ACCACCATCAACACCATCTCACTCGTCATCTCATAGATCACTATCTAGCCGAACCCAGTCTCTGTCACTGGATAGCTGCATTGCATTCTAAGACTCTGAATTCAACATTAGCACCAATGTTTCCACTATTTCTCCGCTGGATTTCTCATTAATGTGATGCTGAACGTCACTGGAAAATGGATGTGGTGAAGTTTTCTGTAAAGAGACGTTTATTTAATGATTATGAAGCACTTTCTGTCACTGCTGCCTTCTTCTACACATTATGTAGAAGATTATGAACCTCTCATGCTCGTTAACCTAATCTGAAAAATAAAGTTTTGATTAATGACAAAAACAGTTCCTGGTATTAAATATAACTTATTAGACTCTAATATTATTATATTTCCTTTTGCTTATTATTTTGAGTAAGATTAGCTTTGGTTGCATGTTCTATCATGGGACAAAAAGAGCATTACTTACCATTTCCACACACCTGGACTACGCTTTCCTCTCATACACATTCAATTAATAACACTCTCTGTGCAGCTGTGCCGAGGCCCAGCTGTGTGTGTGTGTATGTGTGTGTGTGTGTTTGTGTGTGTGATCCACCTGCTATTTCTCTCACACACCTGGAGGACATCCTATAACACTATTATAAATATCAACAGAGCTTCCTCTCCAACCCCCCACCCCCCCCACCCCCCCAACACACACACACACACACACACACACACAATCCATCTCCATCTCCGTCTGTATTAGGGAGGAGCGATACCACTGATTTTCTTTTCCAGCCAATACTAAGTAATACTAAGACTAGTATCCTGATACAGACAGTTTAAAAAAGTCTTCTTGTGTGTCTAAAAATGGAAATTTAGTTATTTCTACAGTGAGAAGGATAGGAATATCTGACAGTTTTGGCATTGTGGGACATTTCGCTGGTCCCCAGGAGGAAAATTATTTTTATCTAAAAAAAATAATAATAATGAAAGAACCTAAAAGTTTCCTTCTGGTTACTGAGATTAAGATTCGAGTTAGATTAGCTGCATTAATAATTATGTCAAAGGAATGTTCTCACAAGGATAGTAAGGGAAGCATGTTTGTGTGTTTGAGATAAAGTGTGTGTATGAAACAAACCAGGGGATCAGTAGCTCCTATCCTGCACATCAATGTCCTGTAAAACTGGTTCCCAAACTAGGGGCCATGACCCCACACTTGATTTACAAATGGGATGCAAGAGAATCTCACAATCTTCTCTGTACAGATTAATATTAGAAATATCGATGATGGATTTTGTGTGCTAATATTTTGAAATATCATAGGAGTCACTTTTAGAGAAGCTATGTTTAAATTACTATGTGCTATTTTAGTCTTTTTCACTAACTAGTGTAGTTCACCAAAACAATGGACAATATTCCCTGTCCATCTACCTCCACTAAACAGATGAGCTTCGTGTCTCAAATCACACACGTATGTACTACTCTAGATCGTTATTGAGTACTAACATTAACCAGTTTTCCTGTTACAGTTAGTGTTTGCCTTCTAACCTACCAAATGGTCTGTTTTGAGTACCAGCCTTCTGGATTTTCTGGATTAGTAAATACTTTTGAATGTAAGGTCAGAGTTTTCAATTTGAGATGTAGATCATGACAACCATCATGATAACAGCGGAAAGTTTTAAGAGAGACAGAGCTCATCAGTGTAAACAAAATTGGTAAATGTTTTACAATTAGACTTGCCAGACAGCAATGTTTGGCTCTGACGTGCCGTCTAGTGGACCTTGTTTTTAAATCTTCTGCATGTACATAAGATATGCAGCGAGTGTGTGACAATGCCGCTCGCATTACCGCTGCTTCTGCGCAAGCGTCAAGTATAAACCAGGCTTCTCTGCTTCGCATCAGGCCATATCACACCACTCTGGCGTGGATTATTTTCCTATAACAACACAACACTCCCGACTAGATTGGTAAATTATTGCAACGAATATTGACAGGAGAGAGAGTATGCCATCCTTCCCATACAGACAGCACGGCCAATTTTGCTGTCTTGGGCTTCTGGCATTGTCGGGATTTGAACTCAAATTTCACAGCAATAGGGTGAATGCTGTTCTTTCTATCTATCTATCTATCTATCTATCACACTGCTCAGGGGTTGCAAGTTTGAATAACAAAAGCCCAAATGTAACCCGGGTTTTGAGTGTGAACCCACTAAACACCGTTTTACCTGCATGTATTAAGAGCCTGTTCCTCTGTGGTTCTGTAGCTCAGTGGGCGATCTGGCTGGCAGTCACTGGGGTCAGTAGCTTGCTCTCTTTGCTTTGCACACAGCTATGTAATTAGCAAAGTAAATGCAGAAGGCTGGTAAATTCCTGTGGGCTGCTCAGCTGACTGGCGCTGCTACCCTCTGACTCAGCGCTCTGTGGCCTCCTAACGTACTCCAAGTCTGAGCACCAACAAATCATCCGGTATAAACTCACAGCCTTTAACGTGGCCTCAGTTTGTTGTAATCCACAGATGATTCTTGTTATAATTTTTTTTTAAAATAGTGCCTCCTTATTTCCTTTCCTTCCCTATTTTTAAGGACAGGATGAGAGGATGCAGACGAACCAACGGCAAACGTGCCTGCCAAACAAGACGTCTTTGTCTGAAGGCACTGAATGATGATGTGTTACCAGCTGTCACTGGCCCTAATCTGGTTATACTTAATGCTAAATAACACTAAATAGACATCAGACAGAACATAATGGCACATGTGCATCACATCCACATTAAATATCAGATGTTTTAACACAGTGGTTCTCCAAATGGGGTCCATGGACTCACCAAGTGGGGTCAGTGAATCACTGCCAAGGGATCTGTTTTTTTTGTTTTTTTTTTATGTTACAGTGGTAGGAATCACAAACCTCTATTATCAATGTTATTATATTTATTATTAAGTTCTTATATTATTAGCCTTTATAACTGGACACTTGAATTAAGTTGAGTTTAATCCAAACCTCGATAACTCAGAAACAAGCCAGCTAATGTGCTCTGTCAGGAATGAAAAAAGATCCAAATTACTCCACAGTGCAGTCATGTCACTAAAAGTCAACAAGTGAAAACATCTTGAATATGGGCAAAATTATGTACTATTTCTTTGTTGAGATTATAAATATTATAAATATTATGGAGTTATTATAAATCATATAATGTTAGTTAGCTTTTACAAATGCTTTTACACATTTCAACCTTTGAAAAACTGTTTTATTTTAAGAATGATTCAGCCGCACAGTAAACAAAAGCTTTCTCTTTGTGTATTAGACACTCAGGGGATTGATACAAGTCCTGGATGGACATCTCACTACAGACTAACCATCCTCTCAGATGATCAGATAACTCACTGAGGTTTTTCCTCGACCCAAAACCTGACCGTGTCTAACTGGACCACTTGTCTGAGGGAGGTTGAATTTCTTCAGCTGTCGCACTCATGTTGAACTCTCTCCACAGATGGCTGAATTTAACACTTGCCATGACACTGAGCCATTTCTTTGCCTTTGCACACGTTTATGTGCATGTAATCTGTGTATGTATCACATGGAGCGTGTGTTGGGATTATCACCTGCTTATCACCCAACATAAAGCTGCAGTAAAGCACATTTTCATAAATGTAGAAGGTACATATTATATGCATGGTGTCTTATAAAAACCCTTCACATCCCTTTTCTACTGTCATTCTGAAAACTACAGGTTTCCCTGAGATGAAATGTATTTCTCTTTTGTATGTCAACTACAATAAAGTCCTAGCATTTTAAAATCTGGTTACGCCCAAAAGTGAAAAAGGGAGATCATCGCATGTAAAGATTTCTTTCTGACCGAGGCTCAGGAGCTTCACAGACATTTTGACAGCCACTTATTAGGCTTTTGTCTGTTTTGTTACTCTTTTGGTACTCGATCAAAGCATGGCGTTCCCTCTGTGAGGAAATCACACTTAGCTAGCGAGGTGTTAGACATGTTTAGACTGCTTTTACAGCTGCGTTTGTTACACTGGCTCCTTACACATCGTGATTTCTGCAGGTAGATGGCAAGGCACGGTTAGAAAAAGCAGCATAAATAAACCCATTTCCACATCGCTTTGGTGAACACTGCAAAAAATGATAGCACGTGAAGATATTTTGAATAAAGAAAATGTTAACTAATTTTCTCGTTATGAGATTGATAAGCGATATAAGACCATTAAGCCTATTCATAGTCATATTTACTAATTTCAAGCCTATTCTATTGGCAGATAATTTAGCTTGATTTAAATAAGTAAATTATCTGACAATAGAATAAGACAATTTCAAGCTATTTCAAGTCTTATATTTGTTTAAAAACAATCTACTAAGGAGAAATATCAGTTGAATTTGCCTATATACAAGATAGTTTTACTTGCTAAGATCAAGACTATTTTTCACAGTGAAATATATTTATATATGGTTTCTTAAGGTTGAGGTGCCATAGTATGTTGTAGGCAGAAAAAACACCTATTTTGGACGAAACCTGAATTTTCCTCCTTTTGGGTTTTCGGGATTCCAGAATTCAGCCACAGCAATATTTAAGCACATAAATAATAAAATATTGCAACTAAATAGAATAAGACATAAAATCAATACGGCTTATGTAAAGTTCTAGTGGACAATGCTAATGTTAAAGCTACAAATCTTTAAGAAACCACAGGGTCCATGGTTTCTAAAGTATGTCTGTGGCATAAATGTTAACATGCTCTTATACTTTTCTATTGTGGTGGCAAGTGTTTAGCATAGCTATACAATCATAGCAGTTAAGCCTGCTAGCTAGCATATAGATTGTGGAAATACGTAATAAACATCTGGGACCAACAGTCATGTTCTTTTTTTTTTTTTTTTTTTGAATGAGTCACTCATTGCTATGGCTCCATTTTCTCAATATTTTTTGCTTTTTCCTGGTATATATGTGAGGCAGTCTGGAAAAATCCATTGCATGTCACTGTGAAAAAATAAAACTCAGTGAGAAACTAAAACTTGAGAAGTGATGGTTCAGTGCTTAAGGCTTTGGACTGTCGCTCGGAAGGTTGTGAGTTCAAATCTCAACAAGTCTCAATAAAAGCATCAGCCAAAGGAGCAAATGAAAATGTGTCTGGAAACACTGTGGGGTTGTTAATGAACTGTTCACAAGGAGAAGTGAAATCTTTGGTGCTCCAAAGAATTTCAATTTAAAAAATCCACCAGAATTGCCAGACTGTCGGTTTGCATGACGTCACCACGCAAAATCTTATAGTACAGAACATGAAAGTATTTTAATACAAATAAAATACTGTATGATTTTCAGCATGATTTTGCTCTTGCTGATAAATATTGCACATTTTGGTCGTGAGTTGGGATCGGCGCCTGATTTAGTGCCACTGCAACCAAACACAGCTGACAACAAAGTTCTGGCAGTGTGTGTTTTTTTTAATTTAAAAAAATCTAATATATCAAAGTTTGAGCTTTGTCTAAAATACACCATTAGCAGGCCAGCGTAGGATGATGTAAAACTCACTGTCAGGGGTGGAAAAAGTACAGAGAAACTGGACTTACGTAAAAGTATGGGTGTCAAAAATCTTACTCAGTTAAAATTAGAAGTACGGAGTCAAAAATCTAGCCGAGTGTAAATCAAAAAGTATCTACATTTAAACATACTCAAGCATTAAAGCGCAAATTAAATATTTTAACAGATGAAAAATTAACTATGCAGACATGAATTTTTGGTTTTATGTATCTTTTTAAATATCAGACAAATCTAGAACTTGGCTTGCTGGTCAGTGAACGTTTAATAGTCACATTGGAACGAATGCCAAGGCGACATTAGCAATGAGAAGAAAACTAGATAGCAAAGGTAACAAACTTAAAGCTCACTGGGAATTTGATTGGATGTCTGATTGGTATAGCAGCTACTATAAGCAAGAGAGAAAATGTACTACTTTAACAAGGCCAAAATGAAAATATAACGAGTATAAAGTGCATTTGTTTTCTTGTAAATTTACTTGAGTAAGTGTACAATTATTCGATTTCAATAATACTTTAGTAAAGTAATGCAGAACAGTTACTCAAGTATTTTCAACCCTTGCTCACTGCACAGCTACAAACATATTTAAACAAAACATAGAGTTTAAAAGAACAGTGGATTGCTCAATTGTGGCAACAGAGAGTTCTGTCGTGACGAGACAAAAAGGAACTCGGCACATAAAGAAATAGCAGATGGATTACAGCTTCCTGTATCTGTACTACATAACACTTCATGTTGTCCTCTTTTCTCCATCCATGAACGGATCCAAACTAGTGTTATTTTTGTAGTCATAACATTGCCACAAGGAATTCCTAGGAACTAGGACTACTTAACTTTTAAGAGTTCCAGTACTGTCCTGTCTGGACTGGAACTTCCCATCCCATTTTTCAAAGCCTGAATAGAAAGAGTTCTTGATGTCAGTTGATACGGGGAATGTAGGAATCGGAGTCAGTGTCAGGAGGAAATACAGCGCATCTAACCATGTGCTCTTTAGTTATCAGACACCACTGTGCTTGACGCAGATAAGAGCCGTGGAGTGGAGTCAGATCTAACAGAGACAGGCGAAGGTGGAGAAGGTCAGGTTGAGGTATCCTGGCCGACAGGAAAGGGTGGGAAAAAGAGCCACTTTTCTTTTCTAAGGGAAAGCACAAAGAAAAATATACAGAGATTTTTTTTCTGCTACTTGTCCAGTCCTTCCATTAGCTCCTGTTGCCTGAGGTTTTGAATTCTCGCATAACAGGAGCCCAGAGTGAGGGCTCACCCTGGCCTAAATACCGTCTACAGCAAACCTCTCTCATTTCTAGTATCCTTTGGATATGGTCTTCAATAAGCTGAGGAGAGAGTTAGAGAGGAGACAGAAAGAAAGAAAAAGATGTTCTCGGCCCACTGCCAGCTCGAGAAATCAGCACGGTGTCCTCAGAGGGTTTAAATGCTGAACTGCCAAGTCTCAGAGCCCCAGTTTGGGAGTGCAGAGTCCGAGCCAAGAGTGCAAGCCTCGTCTAGGTGCTCCAATCCTCCCCAAAACCCCCTTGAGCCGCTCCCAGGTCAGGACACAATGGCGGGGTGGCACAGAGCAGGGTTCACACGGGACCACCTCATTTATGCAATTCAGCTTGAGTTCAGCTGAGCACAACAACAGAGAGCCTAAAACCTGCCAGGAACTTACTCTCTCTCTCTCTCTCTCTCACACACACACACACACACACACCAGACTGAAAGACCACCATGCAACTGCCAGGCCTTGTGATAATGACTTTGGAATAGCATGAAAATAAGAAGATCTGAAAGACTCAAACTGTACTTTTATCCATACCGTGTAAAGATACAACAAACATGAAGTGTGTATTTTTCCTCTGCAACCTTTTAAGGAAATTGACGTCATATCCAGGGTGTATTCCCACATCGCATCCAGTGTTCCCGGATCTACCTCCACCCTGACCAGGATAAAGAGCTTACTGTAGATGTATGAACGAATGAAAAAAGTTTTGGAAGGTTACTTACTGAGAGCTACACAGTCCCTAAATATTCACTGCAGGAACTGTGGTCATTTTATCAAAACTTAATGTAGATATTTAAAAAGGCCAGGTAAAAAAGGTAAAAAGGTTAGTCATGTTATAAAGCTTGCATTTGTACCAAACAGCAACTTTCAGTATGGAAATATCCAACCAGTCTCTCCACACTCTAGAGCAGACACAAGAACTAAAAAGATTCCTTGATTTCAAGCTTAAGAACTAAAATTGGTCCAGGTTCCTGCATGTGTCAAAGGTACCGAAATCCTGATCATTTCCTAGGTTCCTGAAAAGGTTCCTGTGGTAGAAAGATGCTTACGAATGCACAGGCAAATTATAACAAAAGACCACCCTTAAAACAGAGATCACTTGTTTCACGGTGCTCAGAAGGAACTACGACCCTGTGTGCAGACTGATCACTTAACAGAGTAACACAGAATGTCAAGAGGACAGTCGCCACCTGTGTGACCTTTGACCTTACTTATTCCCTCATTTTCTCTCAGTTTATCTTCTTCACAAAGAACTGTCACCAACGTGAACTGTCAGCACTATACAGAAAATGAGGCTACTAACATCTAAAAGATGGTTTACATTTATTTATAATAGATATCGCGATATATAGAGATATCCAGCAATATTTCTAGACTTTCTTCAAACTTCAGGGCTCCTCGCTTTGTCCAGGTTCTTTGTAAAATCCTAAAACAGATGGTTTCCCTTTCAAAAAGAGTTCTTATGAACTTTTAACCATTCAAGGAACACTGAAGGTACACTTGAAAGTAGTACTAAGTAGTACTTGTGAAAAGGCCATTAAGCGCCAGGGTCTGTGTATGTTATGTTCACGTATGCAGTTTTTTTGCTTTAAAACAATAAATATGACAATAAACCTTCTCTGGCATGTTTTTCATGATTTCAGATTCATACTGGGGCTAAAATTAATGAACAATCTTAAATGACATGGATATGTAATAGCGATTACTGGATAAAAGATCGCCGTTACTCTGTGATGTTCTGTTGATATGGATATGAATCACTACGTGATTTTTAAAAATAGTGAGGGTGATGTTAAAGGAGGACGACATGGCAGCTGGAAAAAATCAGCACGGATTTTCCAATTGAAGAATATTTTAATCTCCCAAAGTTCTGTATATTTTGATCCCATTTTATCTAATCTTTTATGAAAACAGAAGACGGTTCCAGTGTACACATCTCAACCAGAGAAAAGTCTGTAAAATAGTCGACTCTGTTCATGCTGAAATGCACCGCAGTAGGAGGTTTTTTATATTTAGTCTCATGAATGTTTGGTTTCTAGAATTTGTGTGGTGAAACTAGTAGAAACAATTAATAATGAGTCAATATTTCATCATTTTTTGAATAGTTTTATGGAAATAAAATGAATTCATTTAGTTTGCGCTATATAGTCTTGCTGTAACTTACTATCTCCTGGAGAATGATGTTTTTTCAGGAGTAAAATGGGCTCCTAATGCCAAAGTGCTGGAAGAAGATAGATAGTGAGAGAGAGAGAGAGAGAGAGAGAGAGAGAGAGTGTTTCATCGCTGGCAGTCTTATTACAGCAATCTTCTAAAGATGATTCTCCAGGTCTTCCATGACATAACGCTGTAGATGTTAAGCAAATAGAGTTCTTGATACTTCATCATCATAAAGCTGGGTTTTCATTTATGATATGCTCTCGAGTGTGAGAAGAATCATCTGTAGCTTTGCATTGATCTTACTAAGAGCAGCCATGTACGTGTGTGTGGGGGTTTAAGAGCGACTACTGGAGCCGAAGCTTCTGGCTCAAAGGTCTTATGAGGAATGTACAGTGTACCAGAGGGCAGCAAATTAGGATTAGATGCAAAACAGATCACAACTGAGTACAGCATTGCTTAAAAGTGTTCATACAGAGATAATACTGTATATACAGTCCACACAAGTACATTACTAGGGTTGACACATGCCATTCTTCCTCTCTAGACAAAACAACATTGTGGATTTTCTGCTCAATTTGAAACTAACGGCCTCAACATGCAAAATGTAACAAATCCCACCTTTAAACAAATGAAATATTATAGCACCAACACACTACCATTTTTAGCAAAAGCAGCACACTTGAGCAACATGATATTTTTTTATGTTAGGAATAAAACATGCTTATAAGGAATAAAACATCCGTGTTGTGTTCTTATAGGGAATTAATCAACAACAGGGTGCGGTGATAAATCTGAGTTACTGTTATCACCCCAAAGGTGGTTATTTTCCTCTAACAGCACATCACAAAGTGTTTTATTCCTCTCATACCACAGCAATTTACCAACGATTACAATTTTTGTATATTAATCAATGAAGCATCACTTTTTATCTGTTTATAGTTACATTTAATGTTGTGGAACATCCGCTAAAACAGGTTCCTGTTAACGCTTACATCGTTCCCTCACCAGCCTCTTGTTCTTCTCTCCTGAAATTAATTGTCTTGTTGTCATGTTTCTGAGAAATCACAAAGTGCAAAGTCCTCTGTTCTGAAGACTTTCCCAAGTTGGAAAATTAAAAGA